TAGGAGGGATCAGCCAGCAGGACTGCACATTCTCAGTTCTACCAACGGCTTATAAGAATGTCCATTTCCCCCTCATTCTCATCAGCACTAGATAATTATCATCAAACTTTTCAACTCTTGCCAATCTAATAGGTAAAAAAGGTTCTTATTTTTTTTTATTTTAGTTTTCTTTAACCATGAATAATGTTGAACATCTTTTTATACAGTAATCATACACCTGTAGTCCTTCTTCTATAAACTGCTTGTCACGTATTAAGGAAATCTGCTTCTAGTCCTTTGAATTACAAATACGTTTTCCTGATTTGTCACTGGTCTTTTTATTCTTCCCCCCATACATAAGTTTTGAAGTTTTATGCAGTTATCAATCAGTTCCCCTAGGATTTGTGTGTGTGTGTTTATATGTGTGGTTTTAAAAATCCTATGAGAAAGGTCTTTCCCACTTCCAGATCATAAATTTATTCTATAATGCTTTCTTCTAAAATTACTATGTTTCAGGGCTGGCCCCGTGGCTTAGCGGTTAAGTGTGCGCGCTCCGCTGCTGGTGGCCCGGGGTTCGGATCCCAGGCGCGCACCGACGCACCGCTTCTCCGGCCATGTTGAGGCCACGTCCCACATACAACAACTAGAAGGATATGTAACTGTGACATACAACTACGTACTGGGGCTTTGGGGAAAAAAAAAAGGAGGAGGTGGAAGTAAAATTACTATGTTTCAGTTTTTATATGTAACTCTTTGTTCCATATGGAATATATTTTGGTATAAAGGGTGAATCCCATTTTTGTTTTTACCCTCTCCCTTTCTTCTCCCATCCTCCCTTTCCTTCTCATTCCCAACTCCCTTGGATTTAGAAACTGTGTGTCCTAGGTCTACACTGCTAGAGTTTATCTTTACATTTTAATTGTTAACATTACACTGCATTTGTATTCTCTTTTCTGTATGTGAGTACGTGTGAGTGCATAATCCATTTAAGGGTTAGTTGCAAATATCACAACACTTCACCCCTAAATCCTTCAGCATTTGTCTCCTAAGAACCAGGACACTAGTTGATCATGACAATACAATGAACATGCTACGGAGATTTAACACTGATGCGTCACTACTGTATACTATATGATCCATAGTTACATTCCCAAATATCCCAATTACAGCACTTGTTTTAGTTTTAGTTTTGATCCAGGATCCAATCAAAGCCATCTCATGATATTTAAAGGTTACATCTCTCAGACTTCTCTATTCTAAACATTCCCCAGCCCTTTTTTTTTTTTTTTATGACATTGACATTTTATAGGTGAAGCCAGTTGTTTTCCAGAATATTCCTCATTTTGGGTTTACTTGATTACAGGTTTTCTCATGATTAGGTTCAGGTTAAGCATTTTGGGCATGAAGGTGCGAGGCTGATGTTTTCTCCTAGTGTACCCTGTGTACATTAGAGGCATGGTGTCACTGAGGTGAGAATGTCCACCAGGCTTTTCCACTATAGAGACGTCTCATTCTCTTCGTCAGTTATAAGTGATCTGTGGGGTGGTACTTGGAGACTGTGTGAATATCCTATTCCTCAACAATCTTTCACCCAATAGTTTATAGTAGTTTACTGACATAAGTTCTCAAACTGTCATTTGTGTATACCTCCATATAGTCTGGACGCATCTATAGAATCCTGAGTAATGCAAAATTCAGTAACCTAGTTCAATAATCTTCCAGATTCCATTAAAACACGTTGGTATTTTAAAACAGTAGATTAAAATTGTAGATTAACGTTTCTCAGAGCATGCCTCTAGCTCAGTGAGTTCCATCGAGTTGGAAAAGGTAGCAAAAAATTGTCAGATTGCAAGAGCCATTCAGTAAATGATCAGAAGTGGTCTCTATCCTAAAGGACAGCCTCTGGGCTCTATCTATACAGGCATTTAAGCATCTAAGGCATATGCCCTATGGGCAACCAGGAGCAGTGACAAGAGTATGTACCTACTCCCAACGTGAAGGTTGGGGTTTACAGATTTCAGATGTTTATGGCCACACAGGATAAGTGAGCTATGGTGAGGTATGAAGAAAGTACAGAGAAGGTTTAGGAAACTGGCAGAGAGAGCTGGGGATTCTAGAGTTAATTAAAAAATCAAAAGCAGAGGCAATTATAAAATGCCTATTTGTGCAACAAATTATGAGTATAACTTCACTAAATTAAAATACTTTTGGGGAAGGACAATCTGAATTATAGCATGTGTGTACAGTCAGTTGAGTCTCATGACTTTTTGCTTTATGTGAAAGCAAAGTGTAGCCAATATTTTCAAAAGTTATAAGATGATGCTTGCAAATAAAAAAATATTTATACACGTAAGGTAAAATGACTATCAAACCTGTAGTTAGAATTTTGTAAGAGAAAACAATGAATAATTTCTGATTTGAGAGCCAACACACTATTATATATTAGAATTACTACGAATAACTCAGAGAATAAGACTTACTGTCAGACTACAGAATATAGAAAAGCATGAAAAGAATATACGAGAAGGATGAAAAACAATTGTGGAAGACAGTCATTTCCTGACTTGAGAATGACTGACAACACAAGAGATTACTAGTCCTTGAGATGAAAGACAATGCTGAGAAAATGATAAATTGGCCCAAAAAATCAGGTCGACTATAGGGAGCGAGCATGAAGACTCCAGGCTAGGTTGAAACTATTATCTTGGTCAACGGACAAAGACTTTTTAAAAGTAGATAATAAACTCAGAGGCACTAAGATCTAGAAATGGGAAGGAGTCTTTCCCAGGATTCTGTGCTCTTTCCCTAAATGTCCTTGCCCCCCAGTTCATGCTGTAAGGGTTGTGAATGCCTTGGAGAATATAATTTTTTATTATATAAAGGTAGGAAAAAAATGTAGACTCGCAGATTCTCTATCCGAAGCCTCCCACCTCCCTTCTTCGGCCTCCCTCTACTTCTCCCAGGGGCAAGAGCCTAGGCAGGAATTGCCCTCCTGCAGAGCTCCTCTCAGCCCCCACCAGCCAGAGGGAGGAGGGAGGGGACACCTCCCAAGGCCAGGAGAGGCAGCAGCGCTTCTGGCATCTCCAGGCAGCGCTCAGACGGCCCTTGCCACAGAAGCTAATCTCTCCACCACTGGTTCAACCTCTCTGTCTTCAGGATACACGGTATTTTGAGGTCATTTGCTCACATATTGCAATGAATGGTGTCCTACTCCTGAGCACAATTGTGTATATTTTCTTGATCACATCTGAGGCATAATGATGTCACAATAAGCCACAATTCTGATTTTCCTCTGCACATACTGATAACTACATTGCTTGGAACAATTACCTATGCGATCAGGCAGGGAACTGGAAAAAATTCGCGATCACACCGCTTTATCGTCAAGCTTAAACCCACTTACTTTTAGGATTCCTACGCAGTTCTGAGATACTTTCCAGAAGCCCCCCCAGCCAGGTTGCGTGGAAGGATGGCAAGGTTGGAGGCGCACGTGAGGGTGCACAAGAATCAGCACCCGGCCTGAGAAGGTCCGAGAGGCAGTCTGAGAAAAGCACGGGGCGAGCTCTGGACGCGGTCTCTCCACCCAAAGCCCAGGCCTGAGGCTCCTCTTGCTTTCCATGCTCACGGGAGTCGTTGCGGGGGAGAAAAGGGACTCCTTTACACAGCAAAGAGTAATTCTCTATCACTCATGACTCCAAATGGGAGTGCGAGATAAAAAACCAAGTTTAGAAAAGATCTAAGTACATGCGTAAGGGACCCTTCCACAAATGATGGTCATGAGAAAGCGTGCCTCTGAGGAGTTTTATCTGAGTGACTTGAGGCTAACCTGTCGGAACACCATACCCTCATAGAGTGCTATTAAAAACACATGGAGGGGCCGGCCCCGTGGCTTAGCAGTTAAGTGTGCGCGCTCCGCTACTGGCGGCCCGGGTTCGGATCCCGGGTGCGCACCAACGCACCGCTTCTCCGGCCATGCTGAGGCTGCGTCCCACATACAGCAACTAGAAGGATGTGCAACTATGACATATAACTATCTACTGGGACTTTGGGGAGAAAAGGGGAAAAAAAGGAGGAGGATTGGCAATAGATGTTAGCTCACAGCCGGTCTTCCTCAGCAAAAAGAGGAGGATTAGCATGGATGTTAGCTCAGGGCTGATCTCCCTCACACACACAAAAAAACACACATGGAGTATTGCTAAATCCAGAACAATTAACGTAAAGATTAACTTGAACAATATATTAGCATTTAGAATAAATACACACTTTCAAGTGCCTACTGTGTGCTAGGCCTTTATAAACACTGCTCTAAGTCTTAGCACAGCTCTGCCTGCAAGGTGAAGACCATTACTTCCACATAACAGACGAGGGAGCGTGGAGCGGCCGTGATGCGCCTGAAGCCACAAGCTGAGGCGGCAGAGCTGGGATTGGAACCTGGGCTCACTGGCTCCCTCCACACTGCCATGCCTGTCCTTTCTGTATGGGGCACAATAATGGAAAACTGTTCAACAAGCTAAAAAAGAGTAAAAATAAAAGATAGAAAATGGTTAAAAGAAAGGGTAGAAACTGAAGTTATTTCTTTCTAAAACTCCCGCATTTGGTGATCCTGCGAGGCCCGGGGGGGCACTCAATAAAATCACAGCACTTGGGGTTTTATCATCATCAAGATTCCTTCCATTTGTTTATCTGCAGTTCAGGGGATGTGAAAACCTGAATCTTGTTTCCATTCTTTTATCTGAAGATATCAGTTTATTTAAAAAATTGTCACAAAATGGCCAAATAAAAGTTGCTTTGAATTTAACCTTATTCCAATTTTATGAACTTTATGATTTAACTAGAAAAGAAAATCTGAAAATATTTTACCACCTGGGTTGGAAAGCCAGTTTAAATTGCACAGGATTATTAGCAGTGTCTCAAACATTTTTAAAAAGCCTAAAACCTAAGTCAGCCTCTGAGCTTCATGGCCTCTGCTCGCCTCCCTGGGCACACAGAGACTGTATGGAGAAGGAAGGGTCTCTGCCTACCTTGTCTTCAAAGAATCTCCTCCTCAGCCTGGCGTCTGTGGGAGGCACCGTCCTCCGCAGCTCTCGGTACCACTTTCTAACCACGTGTCCCCTCCAGGAGGCTTGGATTCTAGAACACGGATGTTTGAAGTGACTCCCTCAGGATGGCTGCATTTAACGAGCACTGCAGAACTCACGATAAGCCCCTGCCGTGCGGCCACCGAGAGGTCAACCCCGCCGTCTGTTGTGTGTGTCCCGCTGGCTCGGGGCCGTGGGGGAAGGGACTCCTCTCACCTGGTCGCACACTTTATTTTGAAGAGCCGGGCCCCATCGTGAATCACCCTGGTTTGATACTGGTTCTTTCTACAGAGAGGACAGGTTTTTTTATTGGTGAACTTTTCAAAAGCCTGAAGACATGCCTGAAGAAAAACATTTCACTTAAAAATTTACGAGTAATTACTTATAAACGACATTTTTACTTCTAATGTAATTATAGTGTTCTTTTCTCCCATAATTATGAGACTTAGTCCAATTTAGTTTATGAAGTAAAGAAGTTTCATCAGATGTTAACACCTTCCTCATGAAACTTGTTCCAAAAATGATATTTTACAAGAATATACATGCAGATACATCAAAACCTTCTGAAACAACTCAGGGAAAGGTAGATGATACCCATGTGTAGGGCTGCCATGCACTAAATCACAGGAAGGGAGTTATCACCCACTTTGATGTACATTACCAACAACAGGCGGTTACACAAACATCTGTGGTTCCTTTGTCACATAACATTCACCATTTTCAAAACAGGATGAATTGTACTGTAGGCTAAAGTCCTATTCTAACTGTAAATGGTGGTTATGGATAAAGTTAAGCGGCTCTTTTTAGGAGACTTGAACTGAGTAGGAGCAGGCTGCACCATGGCGGGGGTGGGGGGTAGGGTGGGGGGTAAGGTGGGGGGGAAGGTGGGGGGGGAGCGTGGGGGGCAGGACCACTCACCCTGTGGAACACGTGGGAACATGAGAGCAGCACCTGTTCAGAGAAGACAGGAAAATGTTTCAAGTTTAAATTAGTTTAAAAGAGAAGCAGCGTAAATGCATTAATTAAAAGAAAAATTCTGAATGCTTAAAAGGTAAGCTGTTGTTTCTTTGAAAAATTAAAAAAGCAGATTAATGACCTTGATATTTATAATATTTAGTGTTTAAGTTTAGCACAGCACAGGTACACAATCTCAACAAGAGAAACTAAGCTAACAATCCAAACCATCAATCACAGGAAGTTTCTACCAGCCATTAAAATGAGTGTACCCTTAGAAAGGAAACAATGAGGAAATAGGTGCACTGCACTTCCCGGGCAGCTCCTGAGAGAATGCAGACTGTGGGGCGGGGAGGGGGGGCAGAGAAAGCGTGAGCAGATGCCTCTGTTTAGGGCTTGGTTCAACTACACTGCACTCTGAAACGTTTTTTAAATCACAGCTTTATTGAGATATAATTTGGACACTCATTTAAATAGCAATAAATCCTAGACATATGAATCACTTTTTCTTTTTTAAATGTAGGGAAAGTGTGATCAGAAGAAAATTTCACCTTTCTGTGACCCAAATTTCCCACCAAATGGTGACATTCTGGGCTGTGACAAAAGACAGATGCTTAGACTGAATAAAGAAAAAGGTAGTGGTTCTTCTGGGAGGAGGAGACATGGGGTGAGACCAGGACAGCCAGCACCGTGGGCTGTGAACACAAAGGCCACTTCTTTCCCTGAAACGGTGGGACTAAGGGAAGCATTCCTGGCCAGGAATCTGACCCGGTGAGCCAGGCTTCAACCCCGGGGAAGACTGACACCTCAGAGGCCCAGCAGCTGCCTGATCTCGGGAAGACTTTCCAGCTTTCAAAGTGACCATTCCCCCTGCCTTCGTTCAATCTACACTTTTCTTCTTAAATGGGAAGAATGGAAGAAATATTGGGTTGAATAGAACTCAGAAAGTTCTAAAACCTTTCCTTGAAACTTATTGCCAACAAGAAGCCTCAGCTGGGAAAATTCAGTAATATTGGTCCCTTTAATGATCACAATTTAATCTAATAGCAGTGTTTTGTGTACTCACTCACTCTTTACAGAATAATCTTTCAGAGTGTTTTACCATTAGTACTTGATGATCTATATTGAATAACATTATACTTCTGTATATTTAAAATATTATACTTTTAAATGTCCATAAATATTTATTATTAGCAAACATTCCCTGACATAAAAATAAATGATTAAGTGGTGGTAAATACACTAAAAATGTCCTAGAAGTTAGGATTAGATTCCAGCTGGACTTGAACACACTTCCTGAGTTGGCCTCCTGTGGGTCACTCAAACTGTTTATTTCCTCATCTGTTAATGGGTATAATGCCTCAGAGAGACATGAGATTACCTGAAGACCTATAAAATCATTAAATGTTGGGAAAATGCCAACTATTGCTTATAACTAAGGAAAAACCTAAACATGAGCACACTAACCGGAAATGCAAAATAAACACAAGTGTCTATATCTATAACCAAACAAAGATATAGAACTTACTGAGAAATTTATGAAAAACAGAATGGAAGAAATGGTGGGCATGATACATCCTGATCCCTCCTCTCAGGATAATTCAACTTCAAGTTCTCATTCTTCATACAACAATCAGGCCAAGTATTCATAGCATAATGAGGAGAGAGGCTGCTGGGGCCAGAAGGACTCTTTGTGGCTTTATTAACTCTTTTCTTACACTAAAATACTAAATTGACAATTCTGTGTTTAAGGGCTAAAATCTTTACAAAATACCCAGCTTTCCCATATGCCAAATTAGGTCTGACAGAGAACTGGAACATAAGTATGTTCAGATACTGTGAATTCAAATTAGTAAAGAGCAAAAGTTTCATGTCTGTGAACTAACTCGCTAACAATGAAACTTACTAAAACAAATTAAGTCTGAGAGTTTTTGTGCCAGGGCAGTAAGTAAAGCCTGGGTTCTCAGGCTATGAACTTTAAGCCTGCTTTCAACTATATTAGCTGTAGTTTTCCAGCAAACCTCCCCGTGCCTGCTCTGTAGGACGCATAATGCCACATACATGAGAAATCATTGCAGGGTGGCCATTAGCTCAAAAAAAAAAAAAAAATTTCTAGGAATAGAAGTGTTCCTAACTTCCAGGAGATGACAGTTTAATTAGGCAAAGTGTGAACAGAAAAAAACCTATGACATAGACTGATCGTATATTATCTGTAATATCTTCAATCTTACTACGGTAGTTTCATGAATATAGACTATTAGAAGATTTTACTTAAAGATTCTTCAACAAATTCTTTGGAAATAGTCAAGCATAGTTTTTCTTTTCTTTTATGATTTCAATTCACAAAACAACTTAAAAATTCCTTTTTGCGTTCACCCTTCCTGCCCTGGGACACAAATGCTTCCTCCCGTCAGTTCTCAACTTGCTCTTCAGCTATTTACGTCCAGGGGAAGGGGAGCATTCCTTTTGTACAAATTTGTACTTCAGAATTAATATCATTCAGTAAATAAACAAAACTGGTTAATGAGGGTGTTTAGCTCTTTGTCACAAACATACTTTAATTAATGGAAAAGAAAATTAAGCATTTGAGGGTCATGTAGGAGGGAAAAACTGGAGAAAGAAGCTGGGAATCTTCAGCCCAGTTCCGAGCCTATCACTAGAGAGGCCCCTATGCTTGCTCTGTCACCTCAGGCTAGCCACCTGGGGGCGGAGCTCAAACTCTTCCTTGCAGATGGGGCAGGGCTGCACGGAGTCCCCTTGCAGGACAGATCTCTGTTTCACTTTTTCCCATTCATCTGATGATAGTGGCAGAGGAGGAGGTTCAAACAGGCCCAACTTCTGTGCTAAAGTTAAAACAATACAAAATATGAGTTAAAATATATTTTAGAATATGGGCACTCATACAGAATCTTAATGACATTATTTTGCAAACGAATATTAAAGCAAAACATTCATATCACATACAGCCAAGTACTGCAAGACGACGTTTCAGTCAACGACGGACCGCACGTACCACGGTGCCCCCCTGGGATAAGGCTACGTAGCCTGGGTGTGTGGTAGGCTGTACCATCCAGGTTTGTGTACGTATACTCTAGGATGTTCGCACAGGACGAGACTGCCTGACGCAGTTCTCAGAATGTGTCCCCATCATCAGGCGATGCGTGACTGTACTTGATTCTACCACACACAGGATGCCACTTTTCTACGGGCGCACAGAAGTCAATGATACCTTACATATGTTTTATGTTTTTATTTACAAAGAATTTCCCATATCTTATTTCATTTTCACAATACTTCTACAAGCAGGCAGGACTGATACCCGATTTTACAGAAGAAGAGCCGAAGAACACTGTGTTTTCACATGTGTTGGCCGAAGGTCCTCCTCATTTCTCACCCGCGTTCTCTCTCAGCCTGCAGCAGGGCCTTCTCCCAGCAGCTTGTTTCTGCCCCTAGTTACCTTCACAACATGGATGTCAATCACGTTTTTCCCTTCTACAACACTCTAGACGTATAACTCCTGTCAGGATCAGTTCCTTAATTCAGCAGTAGGTGAGTACCCACCACGTCTCCTCTGGATCAGGCATGGAGCTTATACTCCAGGGGGACACTCACTCTGCCAGAGGCCCAGGCAGAACACTGGTGGTGACGCGAGCCCCAGAGGAGGGTGAAGGGATAAAGCGTCAATCTGCAAGGCCATCTTCAGAGACAGAAGTGTTATATCTACGAAAGAACAGGAAGCTGTAACAGGAACACTCAGAGTAAAAAAAACAGATCTTGAAGATTGGAATTCTTATAGTAGAAATGTGGAATTCAACTGAAAGACTAGAAGAGGAAGTTAAGATAATCTCACAGAAAGTAGGAAAATAAAAGAAAACAGGAGATAGAAAATAAGAATATTAAAGGATCAGTCTAGGAGGTCTGACATCTGAAAGAACACAGAGAAAATGGAGAGTAAAAATTTTAAAGAAAATAGTCCAAAACATTTCCTAGCAGAGGACATGAGTGTCTAGTTTGACAGGGCTCAGCAAGGCCCAGAGCAAAGGACGCACACTAAGTGCCGTCACGTGAAACTTCAGAACTTAGAGGAAAAGCAGATCCGAAAATCTCTCAGAGAGAGAGGAAAACAGGTCTCAAAAGGGACCAGGACTCAGAACTGCACCAGACTTATCCACAGCAACAGACACTAGAAGGCAACTCTGTCAAAATTCTGAGAAGAGAAAGATGCCCATATTGAAATTCCTTATTAGCTATCAATCAAATGTGAGGGCAGAATAAAATATCTTTATGTCTGTAAGCTTGTACCTTGGTCTCTTATGCACTCTTTCTCAGGAAGCTACTAGAGGAGCAACTTCACCACAATGAGGAGTAAACCAAGAAAGAAGAGGCCGTGTGATCAGGGAAAGAGGATCTAACACAGAAAGAGCCAAAGGCAATCAATCCACAGGACGGACGATGCTGAGAATAGATCCCGGGTTGATAGCTCTGCACCAGCCCTATACAGAGCAACTGGTCCAGAAGGGAGAATGATGGAGGTTCTAGAAGGACTGTCTCCACAAAGATAAAACCAAAAGATCATCTACTGTATTTTAATGTATTGAGAGAAGACCCTTCCACAGGAAATTTTTTTGGGGTGAATTTTGGATCTTTTCCTACCAGTTATTAAGACATTATAAAACTACATTAAAACGGTGAGATATGGACATAGAAACAAACACCCCCAAAATCACATATACAGTCTCTGTATCTCTCTCTCTCATATAAACATGGAAAACCTGGCATTTGCAAAAGGTGTGGCCACAAGTCATCGAAGAAAGAATGGATTATGACCTGAGGGAACAATCTAACAAACGTTTATACCAATAGATTTTCCCCAATACCATATGCAAAATAAACTGTCATGAGAGCTCAATGTGAAAGGCAAGACTTTAAAGGTAAATAAAGAAAATGTGAGGAAACCTCTGTGATCTTAGAATGGGTAGGATTTCTTAAATCTCCCAAAGCATAAACTACAAAAGGAAAAACTGACGGATTTAATAGTAATTAGAATGAAGATTTTATTCAGCGTAAAACACATAAAGTTAAAAGATGGTGACAGACGAGGGGAAGACATTCTCAGTGGCTAAATCAACAAGAGATTAATACGCAGACTACACAAGGACCTCCGGCAAGTCAGCAAGAAAGGACAGAAAACCTGAGTGCAATATTATATATAGATAATAACAAAGAGCATATGGTTCACCCTCATTAGTAACAAATACTACGTGTAAAAATTTAAATAATTTTTTTCATAAAGAGCTCCCAAAAGAAGGACTCATTTCCTCTCCTTTATAACCTCATTTTCCAAAATGGGAAGTTCTTCCTGATGTCTAATTTAAATCTTTCCTGCCAGTTGACTATGATGAAGCTATTTGATCACCTTCATAAACTGTACATGCACAATGGAAGACAGTCACTAAATTACTGTATCACACTATTCCCAGCCTCTATGTGGTCTTGAGCTATGCCATTTTCTAAACTACAACCAGCACTGTCAGCAGTTCAGAGGAAAATGATAAGGTCTCGCGTGGGCATCGCTGTGGCACGGCGTGGCTCCAGCCCACGGGCCTTCCAGTGCCTCCTCCGTCCACCACACTTGCTCCAGGACACAGCCAAACCTATTTTCCACGTCCAGCATCATTTAAAAATCTTTTCTATTTCTAACTTTTCAGTTTAACATAATTGCAGACTTGAAAAGATTGTGAAACCAGATAAAGAATCCTCACGTGCCAGTGACACACGCTGCTTCCTCAAATGCTAACATTTTACATAACCATGGTACGGTGATCTCATGTGGATCCAACACTGTCAGTTAATCCACATTCCTCACGGGATTTCCTTCTTGTCTCACGGGTGTCCTTTTCTCTGACGCAGATCACACGCTGCACACACTGCACTCCATTCTCACGTCGCCTTTGTCTCCTAGAATCTGGGACAGTTCCTCAGTCTTCATCTGCTTCTCCTGACTTGACCCTTTTCTTGAAGACTACTGGCCAGGACTTGTGTAGAACGTCCTTCAGTTTGGGTTTGTCTGAGGTTTCCTCACGAGTAAACTCAGATATGCATTGTTGGCAAGAATATCAGGGAAGGGGTGCTGCACCTTTCTTGGGGCACGGGCTCGGGAGGCATGTGACATCGGCGTGTGTCACTGGCAGGGATGGTAACTTTGGTCACTCGGTAAAGGGGACATTTGCCGGGGCTGCCACCGTAAAGCCACAGTTCCCCTCTGCAGTGAGTTCGTATCTGGGCGATGCCGTGGGACCACGCCCACATCTATGTCTCAGCATGACCGCCACTGGCCCAGCACCCACTGACGGCTGCCATGACTGTGGGGTTTGCCAGTGGTGATTTCCTATTTCTAGCCCCTGTCTACCATATTTATTAGTTGCCATTCTACTATAAGAAAGAGCCTTTTCTTTTCCATTATTTATTTATTCAAGTATTTATTCTATCAGTGTGGATTAATGGATATTTAATTCCATTTTTACTTATTCTACTATCATTACTATCTTTATTTTCTTGCTCAAATTGCCCCCACCATCATTTTTAAACTTCACTACACACACATCTTTCTGTAAGATTGTAAATTAAAATAAATTATTCCCACACCAGAAAAAATTATACTATTAATCTCCACTAGGTTCACTAGCTCTAACAAACCAAACTCAGAATGGCGAGATTAGCTTACCTAAAGTTAACGGTGGCGGTTTTGGATCAAGAACATATTCTTCTTCTGGGTCCTGCACTTCAGGGCCTTGTGTAGTCTTTCCAAGCCCAGTATCTACTATTGCTTTCGCACTTCTTTTCAGAGATTTGGATTTGTGCTCTTTCTTCTGCACCTTTGTCTTGGAATGATCTACTAGTGAAAGATTTCGCAGCTGAAGATCATGCAGAATGTGATCTTGTAAAGCAACAGCAGTGACTGCTAAGTTCTCCTGTTTAGAGGAACGACCCTGAGAAGTAGAAAAAAGCCCTAGAGACAGAACATTATGTAAGGTATCATTCCGAAGGAAACCTGGGCTTGACTACTCGGCCTGACTACATACAGACCACACCCCACAGTGCAGAGAGTGCCTGCCCCGCTGTTCCCCAAGCCGGAGCAAAGCCCATCTCTTCACTGACGCTGATGACACAGGAATATCTTTTCATTCAATTAGTGAGGCCTTAATCATAATATGAATAAATTCATTATGACCTATAAAAGCCGTGCATGCCTGAACACATTCTGTTTCACTATAATTAAATTAGACTCCAGGCAAATCTTGCTTCTATTATACTAAAGAGAATCTTGCATTTAAGTATATGCTTTTTTTCGGAACACTTACACAGAATTAAATTGCCGTGCAGCTAAGAGATGCTTGCAGTAGGTACTACAGCGTAGCAAGGTTTACAAACTATTTTTTTATACTCTCAAATAGATGAATTAAATATATGCATGAGTAAAACAATGTGTATGTTTTACAAAAGGATTGTGTACCTTATATTTTAACATGCTGAATCAGGAGGAGTTGTTGCTTGGCTACATCAGATTATATCAGCATATGACACCACGTTCCTTTACTTCTTCTACTGTCAAAACACAGTCAACAGACAGTCACAGTTAGAGTGTACATACAGATCTCTGAAGAGGTCTATGAGAAGATATGTCGGGAGAGTGTAACCGACAGTGAAGTGTGGGAAGGCCGACCGGAGCCCCGCAGTATACCAGGCACCCTGATTCCGGAGGAACTGAAGCCAGTCACACCCTGATTCAGCCCTGTCCTCAAACAGTTCACCAGCCAGCTGGAGGGAACATATTAATAGGAATGAGAACAATCTACTGCTAAACATAACGACGCACGTAAGTACAACAAAAATTCCCACTAAAAAGACCAGAGAATCGTAAGTGAAATGCCTCCTAAACAGGTAATACTTACACTGGGGTTTGCAGGACGGATCGAGGGAAACGAACAAGCCCCTCTACAGCTAAGAGAACAGCAAAGTCACTGAACCAGGAACTCCGAGCAGCACGTGTGCTATTTGGGGGAGAGAGGGAGCCAGGAAGAAGCTGGAGGGGAAGGGGGGTCTGGCTGACGCCCACCTGTCCAGAACGAGGCTGCAGAGAACACGGGGAGCAGACAAGCCCGGGGCCCAGTCATGCTCACGCTGTCTGCTGGGCAAGACACTTCACAGATCTGAGACTCAGCGTCCTCACCCTAACACAGGTGTCACAACGCATACCTGCAGGGGTACCGTCAGGATTACACGAGACCACCTTTGTCAAGTATCTAAAACCAATCCTTTCACACAGAAGACACCCTGTAAATGGTTATTCTTGCTCCACTTCCCTTTGAAGCTGGTGGAAGAATCTGGAATTGGCCCTTCTAGTTTTTAGACAAGGATATATTTTATGAAGAGTCCAAAATATACTGAAATGGAGAGAAAAAGTAAGTTATTGAAGTAATCTGGGAAATAGTATTGAGGGCCTAATTTTAAGACTAGAAAGAAATTAATCCAAAATATAGTTCTAGAGATCAACACTTGCATTAAATTAGCCCAGCATGGGGTGCGCGCGCTCCGCCACTGGCGGCCCGGGTTCGGATCCCGGGCACACACCGACACACCACTTGTGGGGCCATGCTGAGGTGGCGTCCCACATACAGCAACTAGAAGGATGTGCAACTATGACATACAACTATCTACTGGGGCTATGGGGAGAAAAAGGAGGAGGATTGGCAATAGATGTTAGCTCAGGGTGGGTTTTCCTCAGCAAAAAGAGGAGGATGAGCATGGAGGTTAGCTCAGGGCTGACCTTCCTCACACACACACAAAAAATTAGCCCAGCAGGATAAACTTACTAAGGAGTGAGTGAAAAGCCAGAAAAGGAAGGGCAGTGGGAACAAATCGCTGAGCCCTCCAGGCCTTAGGAGCTGCTAAGATCCTTTAGAAGCTAGATGGTAGTTTTTACTGCAACCTTTCCTGCTCCCTTTCAATTCTGTCCTCAAGAGACACATGAAAGAAGTTTCCATCCAATATTTCCTCACAATACCCTACGTTGGAGAATGGTGGAAGGTATTTAAAATGCTGGAAGATCACTAGCAGAATCGTCTACTTTCCAAATGCCCATAACCCGGCAGAACACAGCTTACATCGGACTAAAAATTGTTTGATAATCATAGCTGGCTAGCCGGTCTACGATTTTATCTCAGGTATCTACACCCCAGGCCACCGTGATTAATAGAGTTGACCTTAAACCAAAAGACAGCCACTTATTTCTCCAGCAAAATGGGTTTATTTGGGATCAAAAAGGATTGCAGTTTGGGGTCTGCAATCATGGCAGCCACTACAGCGTGAGCGAGAGGGGAGGGGAAACGCTTTCATAGAGGGGAGGAGGAAGTTGGGAGGCTGCCATACACAGAGTCCACCGGAAGAAGTGAGTTGACGTGTAGTGGCTTTTCATTGGCTGAGGGGTGACCAGCTCTCTTTGGCTGAGCTCTTGGTCAAGAAGAGGAAGTCTTTCTTCCCCTTGCTGGGCTCCCCAGGGACACAGGGCATGAGAGCTCCCCATTCCCGCCTCCCAACTCCATTTTAATGAGGTTCTATGTATTCATTTTCACAATGTCAAGATAAGAGCTTTTAAAAACAGCCCCTTCTATGTCCTATAGTATCATTATTTCAGAGTTGGAAACTCTTTCCAAATATTTAGTCCAACTCTACTTTATGAACCAGAAAATATATGGGGAGATTAGTGACTCCTTCAAGATTATATCATTAGTCTGTGGCAATGATAAAGTTAGAAAATCCTTGTCCAGTACTAAGAACTAAAATTAATAGGAATGCACTTTCTTTGTAAATTCCATTAACAACTAGTTAAAAGAGGTAAAGTTTGGTAACAAAAAATACCATTTTGGTGCCAAAGTAATTAGTTACCAATTTGTCTAAGTGACCTTAAGCTAATTAATGAAATACTAATTAAAAACCCACGATACATACAATTTTTAAAATACATCTCCACACAGTGTCTTCTTCTTATCTCTCATAACATGAATTCCTTGTTCGTACATTTTTGATGAGATTCCACTTAGAATGGCCAGAAGCACACAAACAGATGTGAAATTACATCCTTAAAATTCTCTGTAAAAACTTTCAACTTTGGACTTGGCTCCCCTTTTAGTAATGGCTAGTGTTAGGTTTTAGAAATTACCCATTTCAGACAGTTAGCGTTTTTTAGGCCCTCCCAAGAAACAGTCACGAATTAAGTAGGCTGGGCGGGGGGCTGGGGGGGGCACTGGAGGACCCCTCCGGACTTCACAGTAGAGGCCCCCCTCCCCACTCGCTGTGGTCACCATGGGCGATCCGCAGTGCCCCCCCTCCCCCTCCCTCCCCGCCCCTCCTCCCTCCCTCCTCCTGCTCCGTGGGACGGTCCCCCCTCCCCCTGCTCGGGAGGTACCGGCCACCACCACTTTTGGCTCACTCACCGCTGCCGTTGCGCCCGGCTTCCGGGCCGCTCGCCGTTGCCTAGCAACCGCCGCCGCGCCGGTCACGCCACCGCACGCATACTCAACGGCCCAGCCCCGCCCGGCGCTCTGCGCGACCTTGCGGGCGCCAGCCGCGGCTCTGCCACACCGCGCATGCTCGCCGGCCAGGCCCCGCTCACAGTACAGAGGTCTCTGTACTGTGTCGCCTCTGCGGCACTCTCACACTGCGCATGCTCGCTGGCCCTGCGCCCTGCGGCACCGCGCATGCTCTGTGTTAGGGGTCGTGGCGCGGCTGGCAGCACCGAGCATGCGCGTCCGCACCAGGCTCCGCCGCGCTGTTTTAAGCGGTGTGCTGGTCAGAGCCCCAGGGGTTTCTTCTGGAACGTTATGCTTGGCGTTCACTGAGGTTTTTAGACCTCTGGTTTTCAGCACATTCGACAGAATTTCAGCCATACTCATTCAAATATCTTTTCTGCCTCCCACCCCAACCCTCCTCTCCACTGCACTTACGTTTATGTCGGACTTCTCGCTAGACAGATAGGTGTCAGAGCTCACTGATGCTCTGTGCATCTTTAAGTTTGCGTTTCCTCTCATCTCGGATAATTTCTATTGCTACGCCTTCAAGTTTGCTAACCTTTTCTTTTGCAGTATTTAGTGTCCCCTGGAGTGCTTTTCGTCCCCAGAAGTGGAGGGGGTCTCTTTACCTCTTCCGTACGTCTCGTGGTGCAGTGCTGGTGTTCTCCAGCTCCCGGAAGACGTGGAGGAGAATTATTCCAGCCGTCTCTATAGGCCTGTCCATTAATAGTGTGGTCTGTGTAATTTCGGTGTCTGTGTTCACTGATTTCTTTTTCTTCTCATTATGGGTTGTTTTTTCCTGCTGCTTTGTGTGCCTGCTCGTCTTTGATGGATGCCAGACATGCTGGGTGCTGGCTTTTTTGTGTTCCTTTCCGTGGTTTCAGGCTTTGTGTGTGACACAGGTAAGTCACCTGGAAACAGTTTGTTGCCTTTAGCCCAGGCTACTTTGTTCCCATTACCTGAGACGCTGGGAGTGCTTTACCGGGTGCCCACGGTCAGGAGCCGCCTCCACACTGGCTGTCGGACTGTTGCCAGCCTGTGTGAGCTCTGAGCTGGTTCCGCCGTCAGTGGTTCGTTCTCAGCTGTGGGTGGTGTCCTCAGGTGCGTGCGCCCAGCAGATCTCAGGTAAAGACCCGAGAAGAGCCCTCTCCAGGTCTCTGGAGCTCTCTTTATCTGAGGGTCTTTCCTCTCTGATATTCTGTCGAGACCCTAGAATTCTTAACTCTGTGTTCTCAAAACAGACTGTTGTCCCCTGTTTTGGTTGTGGCCCCAGAACTCTCCTGGCTCTTAAGGATCACAGTCCTGCACTGCCTGTTGTCCAGAGTCTGAAAACCATTGTTTCATATATTTTGTCTGATTTTTTAGTTGTTTGAGGTAAGAGCTTAAATCTGGTCCTTAACACTCCATCATGGCCAGAAGTAGAAATCAATCGAAATTACTTTTTTTGATGACAGTGACTCAATTTTGTTATTTAAACTTGTGTTTGGAGTTTTATTGAAATAAAGTTCAGCTGAAAGTACAAAGAAAACATACAAAATGCAAATAGTCATTTGTTTTTTTTACTTCCCTGAAAGTGAGGTCTAAAGAAATTACCAACAAAGTTGATTGGAAATTGATCGTTGATTCAAGGATGTCAGAAAACCACCGTGCCCTGGCCACAGAGACTTAATTGGGATGGGCATATGACCTAGTGAGGCCAATCAAATGGATGCAGTCTACTTGTGGGAGCTGCTGGAAAATTCCTTTAATTCCCCTACTGAATGTAGAGACAAGAAAAGACGTGAAACTGCGGCTGTGCCGCTGTCTTGTCGTCACAAGATGAGAGCCTGAAGCTGTTGGGGGCCATCCCAGGAACCTTAGAAGGAGGATTATACAGGAAATGGCAGAGATTTGGATAGGGTCCAAGCCTGGTGACATAGTTAAGCCCTGCAGCTAGCCCTACTCCTGGTCTTTCCGTTTCCTGTGGTGAATCAATTCCCCACATGCTGCAGCCAGTTTGGA